GAGGACGGATGGGGGTTGTGGAGACGGATGGGGAGGCAGGCTTATTGTTAGTCGGCCCGGTACAGTTGAAGCACTGGATTAAGCTGACTGTGACATTCATGTTTAATAACGCCAATCCAAACAGCAATCTGTCATTCAAGATGGACGAAATGATAAAAATGAGGAGGAAATTATATGTGAAAATAGTGTTGGGGCGTTGAAATAATGCAAATTTATTTGACTTTAACAAACGTATAGACTATCGATTAACAGCCTTGGATAGTTACAGTAGGTCTGCTTATAGGTCTTAAACAGTTTATAGCCTTAGTTTTCATTAAAAATAAATTTCCCTATGGAGAAAATGAAATTCCAACGCTATCTCACGACCAATTCGTACAAATTCGTACGAGTGATTAAAAGGTGGCTAATTCGTACTAATTCATACGACCTCACTTGTACGAATTTGTACGATTTGTCTAAACCCACGTGATGGGTAGGTTTAGGGGCGGGGTCAGGGGTAGGTCATTCGTACGAATTCATACGAATTTGGTAACTCGTAAAATATGTACGAATTAGCAAAAATCGTACGAATTTGTACGAGTGAGGTTGTGCTGGACTTTAAACTTCGGTTTAAACAAGGACTTTTATTTTGATACTTATTTTTGAGTTTTCCTTAGTTTTCCTGTGGCTTCCTGTTTAAAAGAGGAAGTAGGCCATATTTCTTCTGTGCTTGAGTTGTGTAAGGTGCTCCATGTGGTTGCAGACATCCAGCTTCATCTTGCCTATCAAAGCCCTTGATGAATTAGTACGAATTAGCCACCTCGTAAAATTCGTACGAATTGCCGTGAGATCGGGCTGGAAATTCTATGATAATAGTTTCAGTTATGACTTTTTTCACTTGATTTAGTCTAATTAGTTTTGTTTCAAATACGTTGTGATTTTTGTTGAACGAGATCTGTCAGCAACAGCACATTTTTGGTCTTGGGCGAGCGATCCTTGGACAGCTTTCCCTGCGCATGAAATCACCTGTATGCCAGCAAACCATTGAAAACGTGGTACAATGATGACGATACATAACAACAGAGTGCTTACCCGAAACCCTCCGTATAACTGGCAGATTTGAAAAAAATTATTGTCGTTTGGCAAATAAATAAATGACGGAGAGTTACATATGCATGTAAACTTTATGGTACACCTCAAACAAGGGAATTTACAGTAATTTATAGTGTTAATGTTAATTAGCGAGTCCACGAATGTCTTGGGTATGCAGAGCATTCGCAGCTTATATGGACCGCACACCCCTGATTATATATTAGTGCTGTCAAATCGTTTAATTGCGATTAATCACATCTAACATAAAATATTTTGTTTATACAATATATGTGTATATATATATATTATATATGCACACACACACACAAATATATATATATACACACACACACACATATATTATATTAAAAAAACTTTTATGTTAGATGTGATTAATCGATTTGACAGCACACTTGCAACAAATATGGATATTATTTTTTACAATAATTTATGATTAGTAAAATCCTGCTAACTTTTATTTAATTAAATAATTAATTAATTTACTGTAATTAATATTTATACATATAATTGGCAGCACTATTGGTTTGCGTGGCATTGGGAAAAAGTAAATCCTGTCGCGATTCAATGACTACGTTTACATGCAGCCAATAACCCGTTCAAAACCGTGATATTAGCAATAACCCGGTCGCGAACGGCCATGTAAACACCGGCAAAAACCCGAATATGCTCATATCCCAGATTTTAAAAACCGGGATATTATACCTGGGGTACCCCTTTTCTAACCCGAATTTTTGGTCATGTAAACGCGCATCGGCATATCCCCATAGTGATGTGTGTTCTGCGCATGTTCTATTCGCAAGGAATCTTGGTCTTTTGAGTAGAGAAACTTCTCGGCGCATACAAAAACCCGCGTGCAGTATACCGGAAGTAAACATGGCGAGACGCAGCACAGCATACTTTTGGAGCGAGGTCAGTAACGTTACCAGCACCAAAGCGCAAACAAAGGCGATCGCTATCTGCCCCAAACTATTCATTATCCGCGTGCTGCTGCTGTTGTTGTCTTTGGATACAGGAAGAAGAATCGGAAATGACGCATATTGCGTCTTAAGGTTGTCCGTACGTCCAGACGCTAACCGCGCGTCGCGTTTACATCGGGATATTGCAATTCCATGTATACAGGAGTAACTCTCTCTGCTCACGCATGTAAACGGGTTATCCCTAATGTTTCAGAAACCCAAATAGTGACCTTAACCCGACCATAACCCGAAATTTGGCTGCATGTAAACGTAGTCACTGATCCTAAACACGAAGCAGTCAACAAGCAGGAAGAGATGCTTTTTCTCGCCTACGTTATCTGTCTTTCTATATTTCACATAAACACACACCCACATGAACACCTCCACAGACGTGCCTCCACACGAAAACACAGAGCAATGAAGAGATTTATGTCCATCCTCTGCAGTCTTGACTCTATGACTGTTCGCATCCATCGGGTCCAGCAGAGCACTAATGTTAAACATAGCACATCCACACAAGAACAAATCAGTCTTCTTAAAAATGCTCATTAATGCTGCTTCATATCCTTAGTTCACTTAAATCTCTGATCTCTCCTTCAAAGTGCTTTCATACGGCTTCAAAGTCAAAAATCAGCAGGGAAACATGCAGTACAGATGATTCCCAGATTGAGCACTTGAACTACGCATTCACTTATTTAAAAGCAACAACAGGAACAGTGTGTTCTGTTCTATAAGTAATGTGTGCATGTGTGTCCTTGCGTGATTATTTATTTTCAATCGTTCAAGGGAGTTTTCATACAATTTGTCGGCATTAATGCTTCAGCGATCATTTGGTTATGTATATGTGTTCAATGAACCCATCAATCATTGCTAAATGAAAATTACTACCAAAGGCCATGTTAACATTACAAGACCAAATTGTCTCAGTCTGTGAAAGACATTAACGTGTATCAAATCGAATGAATAGTTTTCTTTGAAATGCAATATTCCGACATATCAGCTGTTCACACTATGTGGCTATTTCTGCTACATTGCCGAGAATTACAGATAACTGCTCATCTACCCACATCTTCCAGCGCAGCACGGATTAAGCGCCATGATGCTTCACGGCATCTGCAAAATACATGTTCGATGCCACTTCTGTAATTTGCATATAATAAGCATGACCCTTTCAGGCTTGTGAATGATCAGGGTTACGTTCCTTCGGTGTGTCAGCACCAAATGTTGAACTAAATGCATTTAAACTAAAATAAAATGAAACTTTACTACAAAACTAACTAAAACAAATTAATATTAGTTTTTGATGCATGTATATTATATAAAAAAATGTGAAACCTTTACAACCCACCCATTGCACAGGAAAATGGCAATAGATTGCAAAAACACTAGACTGTGCTGAAATATTTAAAGCCATTAAACATTTTTAAAAGATTTTAAATTAACATTGGCAACCCTAAAATTTCAAAACTTAAAAAAACTCTACTAAATCAAAACTAAATTAAAATGAAAAGACAAAATAATCTAAAATAAACACCCTATACTAATCTGTGTGGAAACATAATTTTACAGAGGCCTGATTTCTTGACAGGTATTGACGAAGTAATCCAGCAATGGTCCACTGGTAAGTGGTAGTGGATTGGCTTGTGTTAATAAAATGGTTGGCTATTAAATCACAGGGAAACACAGTAAAAGTGATGTACTAATGTTCGGTTCAGCCTAATTGAACACTGTCTTGTCAATTAAGCAGAAAGTCTCTTCTGTTTCTAATAGAAGGTTCTTAAAATGTCTGCAATTACATTCCTGGCGAAGGCTCAAGGCACTAATAGAATATGGTGGAGGGAAAGAGCAGACTTTAATTTCAAAGCAACATTAAACGCTTTGGGACTAACCTAAAAAAAATAAATGTAAAATTAATGCAAGGTATACGCTTAAATAAATATCAAAATATTTACTTTACATTCAATTTAACAGGTACTTCAAATGTAGCATCTGTTTTCTGGTTTGCTGTAGTGGTTAAAGAATGAGAGCAGTTAACTGGAAGGATGCTGGTTCAGCAAAGAGTGAGCTGTGGGCCAACACCATTGAGCCTTTGAGCACAGCACACATACTAAAGCCCCTGAGTAAGGCACTTAAAGGAACAGTTCATCCAAAAAGATGTTCCAAACCATATGACTTTCTTTCATCCTCACAAGCTAAGAGTGGAGTTTTTGTAGAATATCTTGGACAGTTATTTAAAAACAAATTGAAAGTGAATAAGTTCTGTCTCTAAAATATCTTTACTCCTACTTTACTCTTCTAAAGTCAAACTGATTGATAAAGAACATATATATTTGTATAAAATTAGCATGATATATAGTAACGAAAATAGTTTTATGAAACCATATATAAGCCACATATTACAATCATTTATTTTTTTAAGATTTTCAGTGAATAATGAATGTTATAGGTAACAATGCAGAGAATATCAAAACCAGCACACAACTCTGTATATCTTTTATGATGCCTCTATGTTGTTTTTACGTCCTTTATGAAGCTTGATGCTTTTTGAAGTCTCGGTTCATTGTAATTGCATGTAAAAGAGCAAAAAGCACATTATTAAAATGTCCCTTTTTGTGTTCCACTGGAAAAAAAAAAAATCACACAGACTTGAAATGACATTAGGAGGAGCAAATAATGACAGAATTTTCATTTTTGGATGACCTATCCTTGAAACCCCAGCTCCAAGGGGATTTTCCCTGTAATAAGTTTGTGGTCACTGTTCCATGGCGACATTGTGGTAAAGCTGTGCTTATAAATAAAGATTCAAGAGTTACAGATTTATGGAAACTGCATCTTTGGATGAATCACTTGTTTTTCTATCTATGGTGAGTGGTTTTAGATAAAAGCATATGCTAAATGAATAAATGTCAGTTCATTTCAGGACTACATTATAAAACGCATTGACTTGCCTACCTGCATAATGCATCCATGCGGCAGGTGTTGCGCAACTGAAGACAGTTGGGTTTGCTCTTGTCTAGGTATGAGCAAGAGGGTACAATGGTCTGTCTCCTCCTCTCAGCACAGGCCTGGTCCTTGCAGGAGCAGAAGAGAAGCCCGTAGGTGTATTGCGTGTCAACGCGCTCAAAGAACTGACGCAAGGCTTTATGGCAGCGCTTTCTGTTGCAGCTGTCCTGTGACTGAGACTGTGAGGGTTGCTGGCCCTGAGTCTGCGCACGGGTGCAGGTGGAGATGTAGTTGGAGCGCTGACGCTTGCAGTTTTCATTGAGGTTGCAGGCTTTGGTGGCGTCCAGACAAGGGTTGCATGGGCGGCTGGGATCTGAGCAGTGTGGCTGGCCTTTACTTGTGCCGGAATGTATGCCTAGGAGAGGAGAGGAGAGCAGGAAAGACAAGTGAGATTGTGTTTGTGAGAATGATATAAAGAGAGTGAAAGGGGAATCGAGAGTGGGTGGCATAAGAAAAAAGAGTTGCACAGATGTATTGGACAACTCCAGCACAACAATGAACTCTTTGATCTGATTCCAACTCAATGTCCCGACAGGGGATGCTTTCAGAACACTCACACACCAATTATTAGAGGACTTTCCATAGATGTGTTTTTTTTTTTTTTATACTGGGCTAATGATATTGTCTATCCCATAACCATAATCCCCCTAAACATAATCCTGCATTTTTACATTTTTAATAATAATAATAATAATAAAAAAAAATCCTTATTTAGCTATTTAATTATTTGGACAGCTGCATGTCCTCATAATGTAGGGGAAGTGGCCTGAAACCTGAGTGTGTATATATAAATACACTCACGTACACATCATAATTTCCTATGATGGCAAAGCTGAATTTTCAGTAGCCATTACTCCAGTCTAAAATGTGTCCATTTTAATATGCTGATTTGGTGCTCAAGAAACATATCTTATTATCAGTTCGAATGGGCAATGCACTTTCGCTGTGGATTATCCCATGTAATCCCGACCTTTGACTGAACGAGGTCCTGACAAAAGAATGGACATGAAACATTAGCTGTACCCTTGCCAAAAGTGTATCTAAAACCCTACTGAAACCTTTGCATTATTGAAACCTCAAGTGATGTATAAGTACGATAAGTACATTCAAGATAAAGAAAAACTGGGAAAAGGGAAACAAGGGCATGTATCCAGCTGTGCGACGTCTGTAAGCGTTCAGTTGAAGGCAGCTGAACGAAGCATTCGGGGGATTGGGGAACTATCAGCTGGAGACTGTGGGGAAGTTCTGGACCTCTAAAAGTGTATGAAGGTCGGCATTGATATGTTGTCCTAATGGCGTCTCTAGCCTTGACGGCAGCTCTGGTGATTGGAGAGAGAGAGGGAGAGAGAGAAACTAATAAAACCCAGTGGGTGTTGGTATAACTTTGAGAACAGATGGTTTATCAGACCCCTTGTGGAGAGTAAAAGATGGATTTCACTCCGAATGGGTTTTTGTTACTTATGAATAAAGTGCTAATGATCTAAATGTCTGAACTGTTTACTCTAAATGAGTGGACATATAATATTTATGTAAATAAAAAGGGAGTAGGCATATAAATTACCTTGTGTTATGGCAGCAAACGACTCAGGGAAACATTAGGGATTTTCATGAAGTCCTTTGAAGATATTTTGAAACTGATTGATATTAATAACTATCTTGATGTTTGTTGGGCATAATCTTGGTTTCAGAGTAGACATCATTGCTCAGAGGTCTTGTATTTACAAAGCAATGATTAATAACACATGTTCAGAAGCCTGACATTAATAAGACATGGGAATGTTTACATCAAACATATCCTTGCTTATTAAAGACTCCAACATATCCTTACTCATCTGTGTTACAGATTTATACATTTGATGTAGATCTGGACTCGTGATTTTACCATGGCCATAGAAGCAAATACAAGCATTTGTCAGATATTTGAAATAACACAGATTGCCTCTGATCAAGTATCACTACAGTTAAATACATGAGGGACTCCTGAATGCAATCAATACAATTTGTAGCAAGTGCAATCAATGCATGAAACCTTTCTTCCTCGTAACCTTACTTCCCAAGCTTTTTTTAGGCTGAAAAAGATTCATTTCCAGAGGACAAAAAAAAAAAAAAAAACACCAGCAGTGCATTTACTGATCCTCTCTGAATTTGAAAATACAACCATATTGATATGTTTGCATATCAATTGTTATTTTTGATAACTCACCCCATTTTGTTTTTTTCCCCCAAATATTCTTGTTACATAATACATGTGAATTCAAATTCTATCAGCTTAAAAAGAACTGTCAGAATAGCTTTAGCATGTTATTGAATATGGCAATGTTAATGTATTTGGCCTTGGAAGACTAGATCTACACTGCTGCTGCTGCTGTTGATTATCGCTGCAGAGCAAGTATACTTACTGCTAATAAACAGACATGATGTGGGGTTTTGCCCTGGCAGCCTTGTCTGTTTCATGTTTCTAAGTTAGTCTTGTATTTGAGCACATGGCTCTGTCTTTGTTTGTGTTTGCCATGTGCGCCTCGTGTCCCGCCCCCTTGTTTAGTCCTCGTCCAGTCCTTGTTTTTACTAATTGCGCTCACCTGATCCTCATGTGCTCTGGTCCCTTTAAATTGTGACTTTCCCTCATGTCTTTGCTGGTTTGTTGTGTAAATGTTTTTTTTTGTGTGGTGTTTTCTGGTTTGTGCTCTTGAAATTATCTTAGTGCTTACTCTAGTTTTTTTTTTTTTTTATCCTATTCCCAGTATCAGAGTATCCTTGTTGCTATTTTGTTTTTCTCTGCTTCTGTTTTGCTTAGTTTTAGCTATTGTGCTTTATAATCTATTTTGAGTTCTCTTGTTTTAGAATTTTATTTTTTAGTTATTTTCTTCAAGTCTTGTCAAGTGGAAGTCTTGCTTTTCTTTTGCAATTCCAGTTTTTTTTTTTTCATCTTTAGATCTTAGTTTCATTAGTTTGCTAATGTTATATTTATCTATTTTTTGTTTCTCTAGTCATTGATCTTTTCAGTTTAATTTTGGTTCTCTTCATTGTTGCTATATCCTGTCTGTCTTGTCTTGAGTCTCGTCTTGTATGTTCTTCTGTGTGTTCCTTCCTGCCCCGTGTCCTGAGTTCTCTTGCCACTGACTCTTAACTGACTGGTGCAGCTATCTAACCTCTGTGTCAAGCCTCCGGTTCTGTGAGCCTCTACCTGGTAGCAAGACTGGTGCTACATCTGAGATCTACGTCAAGCTACGAGTTTGCGAGCTGCCTATGGCACTCACATCATTGCCATCTTACTGAGGGTCTCAGTGGTCATCTGTTCTCCGTGTCGTCTGCCCTGCCCTACTGTTTGAACTGGTTCACCCTTCACTCTCCCTGCTGTCTCAAGTCTTCTGTCTTAAAAAAAAACCCTTGTCTGCTCATTTGCATCTGGGTCCTATCTCTTGCAGAATTATGACACATGATGCTGTGTGCATGTAAGATATGCTGCTACTGCATAAATTGACATGCATAAATCCAATAGCAGGCGGAGCTGGTGGAGGGTTTCAGAGGAACTTTGATAGTGTGCTGCGGGACTAGCTTACAGCAAACACTGAACCAGACTATTTAAATGTTGAGCAAGCAATCTCATTGGCTGCATGATCAGCAGAAGCCAATCAGCTTATGTCATGCGGTAATGATGTGATTGCTTGCAAATTGCATGTAAAGGACTTATCAGGCCCTAACTATATATTAACAATAACATCAAAATTGTTTTAAATGTATCTTGTTTAGATGGTTTCTGTTAGACATTTATCCTGGAAAACAAAAACAAAACACTGAATAAGAACATTATTTTGCAGTGCAATCTACAGCTATTTAGATTGAGGTAAAAAAAGTATCCTTTAATTCACTGTATCCTGTAACATTACGAGGTTGAGAAAATATCCTGTAATTGGTGCAATCTTGTGTTCCCATAATAATAATAACCCTCTAAAAGTTCTTACTCTCAATCGACAAAAGCCATTTGCAATGTTCTGAATATGCGGCAAGCAAAGGTTACCCAGATCTAAAAATACTGTGTGGTTTTAGAGTGTTTCTAAATTTGATTCAGTAGTCCTCGCTCTCTTGTCATGTGTGTGTGTGTGTGTGTGTGTGTGTGTGTGTTTGTGAGAGAGCAATTTTAGGTGTGTCTCACAGTGGAGGAAGAAGCCGTAAATGAGGTATGAAATTGGTTGGCGAGAATGTACATAAAAAAAGCGTCCAGCGTCTGGAGGTCAGAGGATGCTGCAGCACAGACTGCGCTCAGCATGCACAAACATTTGCCTGGTTAAAGAAGGGATTGTAACCGAACAGAAGGAAATGGGACAAAATATTGGGAGATGTTCAGATATCCTGCAAATATCAAACACAGGAATCCGTAGCCCAAAGTCCATGACAAAAGTGGTGCAACTGTTTTAGTGAATTCAACCAATACGTTTCTTACATTCAAGTCATGACAACAAATGACACTTGGAATATTATTTGGCATCAGAGAGAAATAGAAAACTATAAGCCTCATCTAGAGAGAACCATTTGGGTCACAAAAACTCCATACTGAGATAAAAAAAAGTGAAAATGACAAAGGAATAACAAGGATTTACAGTTTTTTCTTTCTTTTCTTCCTCTCAGCAAGAATGCTGGAGGGAGCCCAGTAATTCTGTAACCTGTAAAACAAATTGTGACCAAAAATGACCTGCCGGTAGACCAAAGGTCACAAATACTGTGTGATAACCAGTACAATTTAATGAATTAGTTTATTTATAAGGCATGTGGGTTTATTTAATGTGCAAATACTCATACCAAGCATAGGCTACCTACACGGGCATATAATGTGCGAATAATGCACAATTTGTGTAATGGACGGCTAAAGGGACAGCAGGTTCAGTCTGGGTTATTCACAGCTCTTGGCACTGACTATGCTGATTGCAATTAGGAGAAGTGCCACAGTTTAGATGTAATCTCCTCTGAGGTGCGTGAGCTCGTTAGAAAGTCTTTAGCTTCTACTGTTGCTGCGAGGAGAATGGGAAGCCTTTCTTTACTTCTCATTACTCATTATCTCTTTCTATTATAATACTTGTTTGGGAGAGAGAGGAAGAGAGAGAAAAGCAGCGATGGAAAGAGAGATCCAAAATTTTTCAGTCTCCTGTAACAGAATGGGTCCCTGAGGTTCACTTATAATATTAGTAAAAACAATTCTGCACAAAATCCGTATAATATGCTTTTTATTACCTTGTTCGTCTTCTTACTGTCCTCAGGAATTAAATTACTTCTATACATTTTTTATAAATTATAAAAATATTTTATACTACTTTATACTACTAATTAACTACTAGAAATAAGCAATACATTTGTTACAGT